AGGACTTTCTATTTGAATGGAGGTCCCTGAGGTCTGGATGGGGGCCCGATGTAATAACCTGCTTGGGAACTGGCCACGCGCTCATGTCGCCCCCCCCCCCCCCCCCATCTGTTACCTGCCCGGGCACACTCGATCCTCCCGAGGCTCTCCATGCTGTGTTTTGGTTACTTCTTAGTTGATTGGATGGTCCCATGTTCTTGACGGGCCTGCTGCTTTTTCCTATTTAGCTGCTGGAGCCGGTGATGGATACAGACGGGGAGAGGAAGGTACAAGATCATGCCCCCATGAACCATGCCGAGGGACCTATGGGCTCCCAAGGGGCCCACAACTGGCCGGCCGGACGCAGTTTTCTAACAAAACGTTACATGCAGCTCAATTGCACGTTTTTGGGCCTACAGACGACCAAGAACGGTTACTGGCAAAAGTAATGACTTTATGAGCAGATAAAGTTAATTCTTTGATGATTGGGAAGGCGTTGCTTGGGGAAATTTTGAGGTTGATTATGGTGTCCAGAGACACAGTGCTGTTGCCTGGACCCTATATGTCCACTTGCCGGGTCCGTCCGATCGCTAGGGAGCTTTCAACGTTGCCCTTGATATCTTTGCACTTTCTCGTGGGGCTCAATGCCGCTGTTGGGGCGCTATCTGCTTCTATGCCTGAGCACTCTTGATCGATCGAGTTTTCCTCTACGGATTTCTCCCGTTTCCCCGAAAGGCTCTGTACGCTTTTCCGGGGCGTCATATGTCAGGGTGCACTCAGTTCCTCAGGGGCCCATCATGTTAGTATCGGGCTCTTTCCATCTACTCGAGGGGCCTGAGCTCTAAAAGGGGTGAAGGGTCTGTATCCCCCTGGATTTCAGCCGAGCGTGTTCTGTCCAAAAAAGATCGCCGAAGATGGTATGATCTGTTTTTATATTTGCACTTCGCAGATGTTTATTAAATATCAAACCAATAAGGCGCAAGGACTCTCCGACATCGACGATATCACTCCTCTGTTTTTTTTTCACAAAGTTTAGACTTGACGCGTGCTCGGGTGGGAGTCAAATTGACCCCACCCCGAAAATTTTCTGTAATGATTTCGGAATGGCGCGGCGTAGCCGCGCCAAATTTTGCATAGCTGTAGACAACTAATTGGCGGATCGTCTGGCATCAAACATTTAGATGCACTATGTAAGGCCACGGACCTATGGCAGTTCAGAGGTAGGTCATGGTTTCATCGAAGGCAATTTTTTCGGGAATCGTTCAGTCTGATCCAACAACGGAGTGTTACGCGAAGCCATCCATCTCTGAGATGCCTCCTTAGGATACAAAATAATTGAATAAGCAAATTAAATTGAACTAGGGTCAGGTGTTGAGGTCAGACCACGGTCAAGATCAACCGTTTTTATTACTCCAGGGCTTGCTGTATGTGGTATTTTCCGGTGCTCATTTCAAATTGGTTGATAACAGAAATCACATTTTACATCTTTCATGGACTTCTTAAATGTCAGAATAAGTCACTGATCTAAAATGACCCAGGTCAACACTTTGTTTTTAGCAGCATACTGCCTAGCGTAATCTTTGTCGCTTATCCAACTGTAACACTCAAAGCAGTTTTGTATGATTTTGGTGGCCATGACTTTCGCAAGGTCAAACAAGGCCACTGATCTCAAATGAACATGTGGCCTTTTGCTTAGTGCAGTTATCTAGGTTCCAGAGGCCCTTTGGAGACCAACCTGGAACTTGGCCTTGTTTGACTTTATCTAATCTAGAGATCATGACCTAGAAACCTCGAACTTCAACCTAAGTGAGTTCACGTACAGGTCAACACACCCTGTATATTTGGCGTCTCCAGCTCTCTTAGTTCTTGAGGCCTCAGCGGATGAAATTACCCCCCCCCCCCCTTCTCCCACCCGAGCGAAGGGTATTGAACCGGCCACCCGGGCGCGCATTAATTTCATAAGCCCCGCTGTTTTTCGTGCAAACCCCTCGAAGCCCAGGCTTGCATAAGTAGCATTAATCGTCCCTTGGGCACTTAAGCTTCGAGATAGGATATTTCACCTTAGACTTATTTTAGCTTCTTGTTCGTCCAAGATATGCGTACGCGCAGTTTGATTTCCTAACGATATGTTTGATCTTCAAAAGTAAGCGCTCATCTGTGTAGGGTAGTGTCAAGAATCCGCCGGTTGACGAGGCGTGTTCCCGTTTCCCGCCATACATCCCCCACGTGCTCTAGATGTTTTGATCTCTTCCAACATTCAACCTAAAGGTCGTGGAGAATATTCATTGCCCAACAGCTAAGTCCATATTTGTATGCTCCTTCCGTATTGTTCGCTGCTTGATAAGCTGCTTAGAGCCATATGAAGCGTATTTATAATTATGTTGTGTTTAGTAGAAGTCGGATGCGCAGATTCGCAGTGTAGAATTATACCAGAGTTGGTGGGCTTGATCACAGCTCTGTTTCTAACGTTGTACGATTGTTCCTCTTTTCTACCGTCACTAGTGTATCCAAATGCGGACCCTCTTTCTGTATGGTCCATTGTAAAGGCTGAATTGGGTAAATAAGTTGGCTTAACACTACCTGACATAGGTGAACACTTGCTCTGGAAAATTCAACATACCCTTACAAAATCAAAACCGCGCTTACGGATAGCTTAGAAGAACGATAAGGAGCTAAAAAAACTCTCTAGTTAAATATATTGTCTCGAAGCATAAGTGTCCGGGGTGCGATAAGTGTCTTATATGCATGCCTGGGTTTTAAGGGTTTTGCACGCGAAGAAATATGGTTCACGAATTCAAGCGTAAACTGCGCGAAAAACATGGGAGGTACATAGTCTGTGTTGAGAAGTCCATGCGTCCTACTCGTTTCATTTGTGATGAACACCTCCGAGATGCTCAAAACGAAGCAGATAATAAAAGAACTCTTCGGCGACCATCTTTTTGACAGGAACACACTAAGGTTAAAATCCAAGGAGGTATGGCCCATTTCCCTTTAGGGCTCAAAGGTATCTTCAAAGCACGGGACCATCCAGACAGGAAAAATGGTGAATCTATTTTTATAAGAAGTTGGCGACCAGACTTCAATGTACAGGACTCATCATGAACGATTATTTGAATGTGACTAGTGTCTTGATGTGTTATGCATGCTGGCTTAAAACCGCCTTCATGTATCAGTGTTGTCTGATGCTTGATACACGATGTCTGTTTAATTGAAATCGCTTGCATGTAAAAGTGATGCGTGATGCGACATGTCTGTTTACTTGAAATATCTTGCAGAAGTAAATGACGTGTTATGCGTGACGCCGGTTAACTTGAGTTCATTTGCATATACAGGTATTTTTCGCGCATTTTAATTCTCAGTTAGATGTCCACTGTATCGCAGAAATGACTGGCAATTGCTCCCCTGCATGGTGGTGGTCTGTAAAAACTGTGGCTAGCTGTTTTTGGAGAAAAAACTGAAACGTCGAGTAAAATCGACAGACAAATTTAAAGTTGCCACCGATATTCTTTTCGATAAACGCATGTAACCGAAATATCACATTTATATTTTCATTATCCTCTTTCTTCTTTGATCAATAAAGCAATTAATGTTGTTTTATCTATACGCATAATGTTCCTCACAAACGCATTTTTTGCGAAGCGCTGCCATCATGTTGATAATGATGGCGGCATGCCTTTTACATAACAGTTTAAACGTAATATAAAGATTCTGTCCGGTCACTAAGATCAGTCTAGACCAAAGTCATGTCATAACGCCAGGTCGACATCAGTTACAACTGCGTTGGGAGCTATGACTAAATGCCTATCCTGTAAATGAATCGTGTGCAGGGTTGATGTGTGGTCGTATATGCAACTCCTGCAACGGGAAGAGCGTTCATTGCAATTGTCGAAGGGCGGGACCGCCAGCATCGTCTCGCATAGGATTGTGTCGCCGCAGACTCGCCCTGCGGTCGAGTTTCTCTGTTGCCGGCGCAGTATCACATGCCTGCCGCCGTCAGCAACCAACTACAAATCCCGCCCCTGTACCCACCCGCGAACAAGAAACAAACTCGAATTCAGTTAGTAGGCTGTACCGGGGAACTCAGCTGAAATCGCTGGGCGCGACAGGGTCCGATACCTGTCAGTCATACACGCGATTTCAAACAGCAAAACCAAGGTGATGCAGATGACTTTGTGGACTGGAACATATATCAATTTGGTGTTTGGGTGTCGCCCTGTCACCTACGCCACCTTTTTTCCTTTCTCCTCTCCTTCTTCTTACCTTTCCGCCCACTTCCCGTAATCCTTGAGTCCCCCCCCCCCCCCCGTCGAACTCGCCGAATGTGCACCAGCTTCGGCGCGCCTGCCGCGGCTTGAGTGCAGCGTAATCCCATCTATGCGAGACAGGATGGAGATACATTCATGTACAAACGTGATGGGCTGGGCTGTGGACAGCTTTTGGAAATGCTACGGGTATCGGTATGGGTAAAGGTTAATTGCTTTTGAAATGTCAGGTAGACACCTGATCAAAATTGCATTACTGTTTGCGATTCTCTTGATTGTAGTATATTGTGATTGGGAGATCTTGCCACTCTAATCCACACCACTCTAGTCCCTACGCATCCTCGGATACTTCAGGGCGTGTGCGATCCTTTTCATTTGGGGAGGGGCATCAGCCCCTTCTTCCCCAACTTTGTGAAGAAAGTTGGCAAATCCATGGCAAACCCGTTTGTTGGCGAATTTTGAAGGTCAGTTGCGTCGCATAGTAGTTAAGCGTCTGAACTTGGTTACGATGCCTCAGAAGTTCCGTAAGCGGGTTTAGAACCATAACTTACGGCTGCAATGTTCAGGAAGGCTGATGAGGGTTTAGGTAGCTTTTACAATGGCAAAGGTCTTGACGAGACCACCACAGTAGCTCTCGAGAAAACTTGGTTGCGTGATTGGCAGCGAAATAGCTGGACTGATCTGAGATATTTATAGCGCAACCAAGACAAATTCCTCCTGAGCGAAACTAGCGAGCCAAGGTCTGTTTGTGTTGATATCGTCGGCGAGAAGATTAGGATCGTAAGGCTGTCGATTATAATTCAAATTGCCACCCAGCAACGGCATTGTTTGAGGCCATTACTCACATGGTTGTTATGTTTCCCGGACCATGTGATGCTGTTTTTTTTGCCAAAACGCTGCTTATTCATTGCACGTGAAGGACGGATATTCTTAAAGGAGCCGTCAAATATTCCGAAAGGGTGTTGCATGTGCGGCTGTATGCCATCGCTACAGTACTGCCGCCGCGTTTGGTAGAAATATATATCTGGCCTAACCTAGTCCTTCAGTGCATAACTGCTACCATGAGATAAGCAATGTATTGTTCTATGGGGTGTCAAAGTTATGGTATTTAATGTGATTTGTTTCAAGTTATAGTATGATTATTGAAGCTTTCTTCTCATCTGGAAATAGCATTCATTGTATTAAAGGCATTACAATGGCAGAACTTGTTTAGCTTCAGTGTATACATCATTTGTTTTATCCTATCATTGTGTGGGTTCAGGATTTTATCAAAGTTGTGTCTGTTTGGCTTTCTGTTGGTCTTTTATTTGATGGACTGGGGTCTGATGCAGTACTCTGCTCTAGGTCATGTTAACTGATGCATTATTAACTTCAAAATCATACCCATTTGTGAGGCATATTGTGTGCTTTATTCATATGCAATGTGGGCACAGACAAGTTCATGTAGACCTGAAAGGTTTTTGTTATTCTGGCCAATTGTGCAGCATTCTGAACTTTCCTTATTCTAGTGACCCTACACAAGTTCACAAAGAAATCTATCCACTGTGTCTGATGTCCATGCAACATTGGTGCCCCGAATCCTGCACTCCTGCCGTTTAAACTTGGCCAGGCCAGATTGTGCTGAATGTCCCCCTAATTTTTGGTCATGAAAAATATCTGAGTATTTTTGCTTGAAACAAACTGTATAAAGTAATAGCAAAAAGTGGTGTGTGCTGAAGTTTTCAAGGAAAATGGTGTTCATGTTGCCACATTGTTCTGTCTCGATTTGTTTTGCAGTTAATGCTCTGCCCAAAATTACCACATGCCTCATTGCTTATCTTGCATGCATTATCAATGTGATCACAAGATATGTTAATGATAGCTTTTTTCTGATGTACAAATTAGATGGGAAATATGGATATGTTTTCATTTATATATTGACAATGGTGTATCTATATACACATTATATATATATATATATATATATATATATATATATATACTCTTACATTCACATTAGTATGTTTTTGGGGGGATGGGGATGCAGAGCTGGTTGGCCTTCATTTCCAAGCTGCTGCAGTATTCTTGGCCATTCTGATGCAAGATATCTATAATGCTGCATGTTGCTCTGGTATACCAGTTAGAAACATCAGCACTCAGTAGCATTTTGGTATGGCATTTCCCAGTCTGTATGTACTGAAGTCATCCTGTAGCTGCATCTTCCACTGTTTTAGCTCAGGTTGGTGCTGGTGGGTGGTCCTGATGGAGCCATCGACCCTGCACCTCTGTCTGATCTGCAAGGCTTCGGGACAACCCTTGTCCAATATTTACGACATGAGGACGACCAGCACACAGCGCACCTTATCTCAAGCCATTGCGTCTGTGGTTAGTAGAGCTGCAGGTGTTGCTGAGAACGCGCCCAGCCCGGAGCCACTGTGCGGATTGGTGCTCTCTTACTGCTATGCATGCTGATACTTAGGTGGTGATATAGATGCGAAGGTATATGACATTTGTAAAAGCATGGCTTTTTCAGTTTAAGGCGGACACATGTCAGTACTGATGAGAATGCCATCACGTCGTGACTGTTAAAGGCTCGCTTAAGTAAAAGACGCGTTTTTTGTTGTGCTACGTTTTTCAACATACTATTGTGCTACATGTTTTAACCGTTTCACTTGTTTCACGTTTTTCACGTTTCTTGTAGCATTGACACATTCATTTTTGAGCATTGAAGTGGTGCAGGGAACAGCTGAGCCACACTGGTGAAGTGTATAGTCCCATAGTCATGAAGTGTCTTTGATCTACTGTTGGAAGTTTGTGTGTGCGCGCTCAAATATAAAAATGTACTTGTTAAAGCATATATACGCGTTGGTCCAGAGTCTTCACAACACATGAAGGGAGATTTTGTAGCTCTTCTGCTTCTAAGTTCTCGTAAGGGTACGGGTATGTGGCAGTAACTGGGTGCCGGCAGTAACTGACATGAGCTTGTAGACCCAGCACAGCCAACTGACATGCTTGTGTTGATGTTGACCATCATTCATAATCATGGTCCTGTAAAAGACATAACAGAGTGTGGGTGTTTGAAGTTAATTCCTGAGCTTTACTAAACCCGACCCTGCGTTCACTTTTCTAATCTCCTTCGGACAAATGTTGAAGTTTGTGTTCCGCCGTTAGGTGAGCCCCCACTTGCCTCTGGTGCGCAGCGGTGCCATCTGTCCGCACTGTACGGAACTTGTGCTGCGGCTGGATCAGCTAGAGGGCCAGGCGCAAGTGCTCCGGACATCTCTGCTCAACATGTACCTCCAGCCGCCCGCCTCTGACCGTGGCCTAACAGGTGTGACGCGCGCTGTGACAAGGCGTGCACTGGGTGACGAGCACTGGGCAAGTGCGCTGTGCATGCACTGGACCGGCGTGTGCTGACCGAGTTGGTATGCACTGAGTGCAGTGTTATGTGGGGGATGAGAGTTGACACTGTCTGGTTCACTTGAAGTGAGATGTCCGTGTTGCTTGGGTTGGAGCTGGTGGTGCCGCTATTCACAAGGAGTGGGGACGTGCATCCTAGAGTTTTGCGTTGCTGCCTTATGCTAGCAATATTCTTACAGTGATGTTCCTTTGGCTACAAAATGAATGTTTGTGTTCCCTCCCTGCTCCAACTGAACATTATCCCCCGCCCCTTCTGGGCATCATCTCATCCCCGCCCCATCTGAACATCATCCCCCTGCCCCATCTGAGCATCATCCCCTGCCCCATCTGAACATCATGCCCCTGCCCCATCTGAGCATCACCCCCACCCCATCTGAATATCATCCACCTGCCCCATCTGGGCATCATCTCACACCCCATCTGAGCATCATCCTCTGTTCCATCTGAGCATCATCCTCCATTCCATCTGAGCATCATCCTCTGTTCCATCTGAGCATCATCCCCCTGCCCCATCTGAACATCATCCCCCTGCCCCATCTGAGCATCATCCCCCACCCCATCTGAACATCATCCCCCTGCCCCATCTGAGCATCACCCCCACCCCATCTGAATATCATCCACCTGCCCCATCTGGGCATCATCTCACGCCCCATCTGAGCATCATCCTCTGTTCCATCTGAGCATCATCCTCTGTTCCATCTGAGCATCATCCCCCACCCCATCTAAACATCATCCCCCTGCCCCACCTGAGCATCGCCCCCACCCCATCTGAACATCATCCACCCACCCCATCTGGGCATCATCTCACGGCCCATCTGAGCATCATCCTCCACCCCATCTGAGCATCCCTCGCCCCATCCGAGCACCTCCTCCGCCCCATCTGAACATCGCCTCCCATCCCGAGCATTGGCTTATCTTCTCTCCGGCTGGATAATGTGAAGCCACTGCTCGCTATCCACGCTTTTCCCGCAAGGATTGTGTGGGCCATAGGGGTCGCCCAGTTGCCTTACTTTTGAGCGATCAGATTCAAGTTTCAGTTGCGTTGGTGGAAATGGCGCCGTTGATATGGGATTTGCATACGACATTGCACGTTCACTAGACATGTGGAGTACGTTTCCTTGGCGGCGCCTTTCATTGTCTTCGAAGCTCGTTATTAAAAAACAAAGAAGTTGACACGCCCTGAAACCATTTATATACACGCACACACGCAGGCAGGCACAGGCGCGCGCCCACGTACACGCACGCACACACAATGTATATGTATACACATTATATATGTATATGTATATACATGTATGATATATAAGTATATGATATATATATATATATATATATATATATATATATATGTGTGTGTGTGTAATGTATATAATTTATGTTATATATGTATATATATATATATATATATATATATATATATATATATATATATATATTGTCAATACCTGAAGTGTCATTGTATTGGAAGAGAATGGAAATTGTTGCTCAGAACAAACAAAAACACCTTGCCACTGACCGCGTCGCTTACTTTATCACGCGGTATTTGCCCTGATCTGTAGCCACCTTGCGCACACCTGCCGGGCGCGCGGCGTGACGATATGTGACGTCACGTCCACGCGCCTGCAGGCCCTGGTTCCAGTCCGGCGGCGGCGGCGGTGGTGGTGGAGCACGAGCCAGCTCCGGTTCCGGCCCCAGCTCCGGCCTCCGCTCCGGCTTCGGCCCCGGCCCCGGCACCGGCCCCGGCCCTGGCCCCGGCCCCGGCCCCGGCCCCGGCTCCGGCCCCGGCTCCGGCCCCGGCCCCGGCCTCGGCACCGGCACCGGCACCGGCACCGGCACCGGCACCGGCACCGGCCCCGGCACCGGCCCCCGGCCCCGGCACCGGCCCCGGCCCCGGCCCCGGCCCCGGCCTCCGGCTCCTGCCCCGGCCCCGGCTCCGGCTTCGGCCCCGGCTCCGGCTCCGGCCCCGGCCGGGGCTGAGACTGGCCTGCTGGGCACGCTCAGACAAGGTCAGCTCGCCATCTCCCCCGTTCTCTGCTCCAGGGTGGGGGAGCGTGGTTGCCGAGTGGTGAGCGTTTCGGGCCCTCGCGTGGGGGACTAAGGTTTAAAGCCCGATTGCGCCATGGCCTTTAAGCGCTGGTATGGCCAAGGCAGTCACTGGCGCTCCGTAAAAGAGAGCGTGACAATGTGGGTCTGCGGTCGTGGTCCCTTAAAAACCCGTTCGGGTTGAGCTGCGCTGCACATGATATTTCTTATTGTGAGCTTCCTGTGGCTCAGTAGCTCTGCTGTACCGCTATTCCTGTGCCAAGGGTTGTCTGCCTGTGGCCTTGTTTTTTATGTCATTCGGGCTCTCGGGTACTGACATTGCGGTGTGTCACCGACGTTGGTGACCGGCCTGTTTTCACCCGATCGATAATCCATCGGGAGACGGCGAGCGCGCGGTGAGCACCGTCCGCCGACTGTGGTCAACTGTGCTCCGATGGCGCGCTCACCGACTGTGCTCGCCTGGACAGCGGCCGCCGGCAGCTGTGCTCCGGTAGCGCGCTCACCGACTGTGCCCTTCTAGACCAGGAGTAACGCTCTGTTCGGCCGGCAGACGGCGCGCCGCCCGACCGGCGGCTGCAGGCTACCCGGCGCGCGCCGGCCGCCGGCGCCGGCACGGCCCTCACCCTCGGTCACCAGCTGTCGCCGGCGCCGGCCGATCGGCCCGCTGCTGAGCTCGGCACCGGCCGCACCGCCGCCGCCGCCGCCACGGAGCAGCGCCTGGTGCACGGCGCTGAGGTTAGCTGGGGTAGCTCAGGTCCGATGTCAAGTCTTTGGAGACCGTTCTCGGCCCCAAGGGGTGGTTGGGCTGTCAACACTTAGCGCGCGTGCCAAGAACTGGGTCGTTGGTTTCTTATCGCCAATTTGTGGGTCACATTGTCGGCATGTTTCGCCGGTTAGGTGGAAATTAGCAGGTGGGTCGATGGTGGAAAGGGCAGCTGAGCTGGTGGGTTCAGGTGGTCTGTTGGTGGGCAGCTGACGGCTTTTCGAGACACACTCTTTTCACCATCGACATACATATGTTTTCCAAGGGTGTTTTACGAATGTTTTCCATATCCGATGCTGTAACCGTTGGTCGCCCACATTCCGTGCAATTATTGAGGGAAGTACCAGCGAACTTTGACACAGCCACGAAGTCGAGGGACATAGCTGAACGGCCGCTGGCACCCTGTCCTCTACCGGTGCGGGTGGTTTTCTTCGAGGCAATGTGCGGCGCCGGCGGAGCGGCCGGCGCCGAGAGCCCGTCCGATCGGTACAGTGACGGTCTGATGTGTGCCCTCAGGCGGCGGACGGCTCGGGTCTCCTCTCGCCGGCGGGCTTGTCTTTCTGCTGTCAGCCTCTGTTGGTCCCTGCGCAGCAGCACGCCCGCCCACCGACCGACGCGCCAATCAGCGGCGCCGCCGGCCCGCCGGTCGGCGACAGCCGACCAATAGGCTCCTCCGACGGCCGGGGCTCGACCAATGACGCATCGCTAACCGGCGGCGAGCCAATCAGCGGCACCGAGCCCGTTTCGCGCGAACGTCAGAAGCGCATGCGCAACTCGGGCCGGCCGTACCTGGCGCGCAGCCACAAGTTCAATCCCGGGAAGCAGTTCGCGCCGGTGGACTGCCACTGCCAGCTGCGCTGTGCAGAGAAGGTGTCCGTGGCGCGGCAGCTAGAGATCTTCCAGCAGTTCTGGGACCTGGCCGACTGGCAGCTGCAGGTGAGACGGCAGCTGCCGGCTGCCAGCCCGTCTCTGGGACCTGGGCCAGCTGCATGTACCACACAGCGAGCTGAGGGTCACGCACATTGTCTGTGAGTCGATGGATATGTGGTCATCACGTCCCAATTTTCGGTTCTCAGGAAAGTGGGCCAGGGGCATGTAGCCTCGGTTGCTGTGTGCTGCCTGCGTTTTCAGATCTGTATTCCATGTATCTGGTTGAAGTGCTCGATTTATGTGCAAGCATGTGGGTTTCCTGATATTGACAGAGCCGGTTCATGTGTGGCATTGTGTACCAGCTGATGTCAAATGTTTGGTTCAGCACTGTTCTCTACCCGATCTTGGAGGGGCCATTTCGTCGTGTAGTTTTTTGTGGCCGATGTTGCAGCTCCATTTCATATGCAACACTGTTACGTGATGTCGGCAGGGTCAGTTCATCTGCAACTTTGTGTACCCGATGCCAACCAAGCGCCAGACAAAGGGCGCAGAAGCGTCACGGCGGGCTTTCAGCAGGTGCTACTACCTGCCGCTCGGTCTGCAGAAGGTGTCCGTCTGCAAGCGCTTCTTCCTCGGCGTCATGAAGGTGGGTGATCAGGGACGGAGGAAGTGGGCTACCGCTTCTTCCTCGGCGTCATTAAATCAGGGACAGAGGAGGCGGGCCGCCGCTTCTTCCTCGGCGTCATGAAGGTGGGTGGGCAGGGTCGGTGGGAGCGGGCCGCCTCCTGCGCTGCACCCGCCGTCGCACCGTCCCCGGTTAGCTCGCTCGCTTTGGCGCCAAAACGTAGCAAAAATGGCGCGCCTCGCAGTGACGTCACTTCGGATTTGTCGCGAAGCGGCAAACATAGAACAGACCCGGACAACAGTAGCGTTTGTTGTCAGCAAGGATAGATGATTACTTCGTTACTTAGTTGTGAAGCTTTAGCGGGTGAGCTTTCATATGGCATGGAAGTACTTGATTTCGAACGGATGCGATATTTTTGCCCAGCTCTTCGTAGATATCACGCGTTACTTCTCGAGTATTGCGGCGCAATTCTTGAAAGGTACTCCAGCGCGGAACAATCTGTGGTGTTGGCTGTTCGAGAAAGCATGTTTCTGCTGTTGGATTTTGCGATTTAGGAGCAAGGCGGGAATGCTGTTCCCAAAAATGTCTTATGTCAGACAGCACTGGTTTGGGTCTCTCGCTCTCTCGCTCTCTTTCTCTCTCTCTCTCTCTCTCTCTCTCTCTCTCTCTCTCTCTCTCTCTCTCTCTCTCTCTCTCTCTCTCTCTCTCTCTCTCTCTCTCTCTCTCTCTCTCTCTCTCTCTCTCTCTCTCTCGGCGGTACACAAAAAAGACCAGATCAAGTAGACTACACCACCCCCGTTTGGCCAGATAAACTGCACCGCTCCCACGCCGTCAGATAGACTGCATCGCTAACACTCCGTCAGATAGGCTGCATCACTCCCGCTTCGTCAGATACATCACTACTCCCACTCCGTCAGATACATTGCACCGCTCCCACTCCGTCAGATGCACTGCACTATTCCCGCTTCCTCAGATAGACTGCGCCACTCCCGCTCCGTCAGGTAGACTGCACCTAACCAGTCCGTCAGATAGACCGCACCACTCCCACTCCGTCAGGTAGACTGCATCGCTCCCACTCCGTGCACCGCTCCGGCTCCAACAGATAGAGTGCACCGCTCCCACTCCGTCAGATACACTCCGTCACTCCCACTCCATCAGATGTACTGCACCACTCGCTCTCCGTCAGATAGACTGCACCGCTCCCACTCCGTACACCGCTCCCGCTCCGTCAGATAGACTGCACCACTCCCACTCCGTCAGGTAGACAGCACCACTCCCACTCCGTCAGATCAACTCCGGCCGGGTCGAGTACGCGATGAAGCGCAAGCTGAGCTCGCCGCTCGGCGTGATGCTGCCGGACCAGCGTGGCAGGCGGGCGCCGGCCAACAAGACGCCGGCCCAGCAGGTGCTCCACCTGCAGAGGCACCTGGCGACGGCGCCAGCAGACGGCGCGGACGGCGGCGCCACGGCCGACTGCTGCGCTCGCTTGTATCGGCAGTACTGCGACAGGTGGGTGGGGGCGGCAGGGGGGGGGGGGCGGTCGTGTTTGTTGTGGGGCGCTAGCTTGTACCGGCAGTACTGCGACAGGTGGGTGGGGGTGGCAGGGGGGGGGGGGGCGGCGGTCGTGTTTGGTGTGGGTCGCTCGCTTGTACTGTCATTACTGCGATAGCTGGGTGGTGGGGGGGGGGAGGGGGCGGCCATTTGCGGTTGGGGGGAGTGAACAGGTCCGGACCCGGCACGAGTCAGCAGATCTGCGGGCGTGCCTTCGCTGACGGGGCGGCAGCCACCTGCTACGTCGCGACACCTGCCTCTTCTCGAATGGCTTACTACGAGCATGTGTCCATTGTACTATGACAGGTGTGCAGTTCCGTACGTTACCTACGGAGACGGCTGTACCGCGAGTTTGCCATTCGCTACTTTGTAACGGAAGTTTGCTGCGAAGAAATTAATCAAGAGCGACTGAAAACCTGCGTCTGTAGCGTAAATATGTGGGCATGCAGCGTCATAAACCGACAAGGTCATTTAGGCGAGATGTTCAGATGCCGGATGGTCAGTGGTTTTTTGTGTGCACCGATGAGCGGTTAGAATTGCAGCCCGGAACGTCATCTTTTTGGGGAAATGGTTTGGCCTTCATCCATTATGTGACCTGACCCGCCTCCAGCGTGACCTGACCCATCACCAATGTGGCCTGACCCGTCACCAGTGTGGCTTGGCCCGCCACCGGTGTGGCTTGGCCCGCCACCAGTGTGACCTGGCCCGCCACCAGTGTGACCTGACCCGCCACCAGCGTGACCTGACCCGTCACCAGTGTGACCCGAGGTCATGTGGCCGGCAGGTGTGTGTCGGAGGGCCGTCGGCCGGTGGGCGCCTCCGTGTTCCGGCGTTATTGGCGCCAGGCGCGCGCCCGCCGCCCGGCCCGCTCCGGACCGCCCGGCTGAAGCCCGGCTCCCTGGACAGCCGCCGGACCGGCGGCGCCGCATGGACAAGCGTCGCTGTCGGAGACAAGCTGGCCGCGGCTGAGGCGCCTCCAAGGCGCCTGCTGTCGGAGACGGACTGGCCGCGACTGAAGCGCCCCCGAGCCGCCATTGCGGAGCCTATGACCGCCCGGCTCGTCCGGCGCCAGCTGGTGTCACGCGCTCCTGATGCCCAGCGGGGATGTCCAGCGACGTGTCGGAGAAGCGCGTGCGAGGCAGCCTGCTGTGCCGCACGAGGGAAACTAATAACTCTATCACCCCCACGCATGAAAGGCTGAACGTAATCCGTGCATCGGCATCAGGTGGCACTGCTCGTCATACGGCCCTTTTGCTGCATTCAGAGCCAGCATTTAGACATCAAGCATCCGTCTCGGTTTTTCACCATTTCTCACTTTCTTGGCATGTTTGTTGTCATTAATGGTGTGTTGACCACACCAGAGAAGGAATTTTATTGATGTATTCACCTGTGGCATCAATATCTTTGATGTCCGCCCTGCGATGAGCAGGCGCCTCACATTCCTTGCGCGAGACGAAACCGCCCCTCGTTGTATGCGCGTGACTGCAGGTCCGAGCGCCGCTGTGGGGCAGCCTGCAGGCTGGCAGGGAGGGTAAGGCAGGGCAGGGCAGGGCAGGGCAAGGCAGGACAGGACAGGACAGGACAGGACAGGGCGGGGTAGGACAGGACAAGACAGGACAGAGCACAGCACAGCACACCAGAGTACAGCACAGCGCAGCACAGGCAGACCGTGGCTGCGTTGCCGCAGGCAGAGGCCGGCAGGAACGCCGCCCCATCACCTGCTCACGGGGACATAACTGCAGCTGGCTGTCCTGGGCGTATTGCCGAGTAGGTGTGTTGTATGACGCAACGTGCTGCGTCGGTTGTGAGTGCTATGCGCGGGTTTTCGTCGCCGCTCGAAGGTGCGTTGCCGGGGTGCCGGTAGTGTAGTGGCTAACGCGTCTGCGTTAACCACTGCACGTCTGGGAAACCTGAGGTACGGGTTCGATTCCCCGCGGTGCCCGCCCTTCCTGCCAGGGTGAGAGGCAGGCGACGCCATATAGCCTCAGCAGCTGAGAACGTCGTTAAGCCCCAATGACATGACACAAGATGATGCGTTGCCAGTATTGTAACCGCCGAGACCCTCGGCGCTTATCTCTCACGTCGGTTGTTGTTCTGTGGCCGGCGGAGCACGCGGTCCGTGGTGGCTCACCCCCGGGCCGACTGATCTCGAGGTGGACACCCGAGCCGTCCCATCAGGTCTTCAGTCAAGGGTGTGTTTGTTCATATCTAGTCTGTATCGCACCGTGAGGTGCCTGATATGCAGTGGTGAAATGATTGTCGTCTAGCTGTCCAGCTGTGATGTACTGCCTTGCTGGTAAGCACAACAATTTGTAGAGTGTGAGTGTGTGTCTACCCTGTATGTAGAGTGTGAAATGTGTGTATTTATGAAAAAGTAAGAAATGATACGAATTTCAAAACTCGCCTAAAAAGGCATGGCTGCAGAAATATAGTGATTTCGCTGCTGATTCACTGTCTTCCGTCCGAGCTTGAAACCACGGTCAAACGTGCACGTTAAAACGTGGGTGAATATGCACAGTCTCAGAAGCGTCTGCTATCGACTTGTTCTGAAGCACATGCAATTAAAAGCGCACTTGATTTCCTTAGTAAGTCATTCCTCGCTTCCTTCAAAAACCTCTCTTCGAAGAAAGCCACTCAGGATATTTTAGTGGCCATCTAGGTGTTGATAAAGTCTGTGTGAGGCGCTGCTCGCGTTAATACCGGTGTAGCTTGTGCCAGGACGAAAATTAGTGTTTGAAAGCTTGCGTAGCCTGCAGCGCACGAAAAATGTGAAGATAACTAACACGTCTACAAGACTTGCAGGTCCGTGATGCCCTTCCCGAGTTGTTGCAGTTAACACTTAGGAAACATTACCGTGAAGATATAATGGTGGCCGGTACAAAATTAACACAATACATTTGCTTTCTAGGTGGCTTGAGTCATTCATCACCAGATCCAAGTGAGCGAAAAATGTGCGATTTATGTGCAAATGTGCGAGGCATGGTTGCGCCAGCACACGTCGGCTACACTGGGAATGTCGACATTTCTGAAAACAATGCCAGAAAAACGTCCACATAACTTTCAAAAGGTGTGTTTGGAAATCGCTATGGAGAGGCATAAGCACCTCTCAGGGGAGCTGATGCCTGGCACCTGAAATGTAGCTAATCTAGCGCTGGCAGTGGTGCTGGTGCTCTTCATACCGTTTGACATTCCTTCTGCCAGGTCCCCTAACGCGTGACAATGGATGCAAAACAGCGGAGGGCTGACACCAGCGTGGAACGCAAAACACCCACATAATTTTACAGGGTGCGTTTGGAAATCGCTGTAGAGAGATACATTAATTTTTTAGGAGAATTGATCGTGACGTCTGAAATATATTTAATCTAGCGCTGACTGTGGCGCTGGTGCTCGCTATACCTTTTGACATTCCTCCTGTCCGGTCACCTAACGCATGACAATGGATGCAAAAAAGCGGAAGGCTGACACCAGTGTGGAACGCATGGATAGACCAAACGTACTTTGATGAGTACCCGCATAACTTTGTGATGATAATTACAAATCATACTGTTGGATGCGCCACAAAGAAACGTACGTTAGGAAGCATCACACATCACTACGGAAGCGTGGTATCCGTTCATAGGTTCAACCGCATGATGCGATGTCCATCATTGAAGCACATGCTAAAATTTTCTTAGCAAAACAACCGTAGTAACTTTGTCGCAGTGATGACCACGTAAACACCATTCACGAGTAGCTTGCAGTCGCTTAGTTGCCGCATCTCTATCAAGATCCTCATTTTCAGGGGCGGATCTAGCCTGGAGTTGTTGTTTTTTTTTTGGGGGGGGGGGCAACCGTTCGTCGCCAGCTGACTGGTGTGGGATCGGAGGTTCAGTGCACGGTGCTTCTCGCGAGCACCTAGTAGGGACACCGTTCAAAACGGAAAAAAGCACCGGAATGCTTTTGAATCTTAAACGTAAGTTAAAACAAAACCGTTAAAACAGACGGTAAGTAGACGGAATTTTTATGAAGATCTGGGAATGCTTTGGGGAGCCAAAACATACTCTCAGAGGTTTCGGGGGGCCATGGCCCCGTGTCCCCCCCCCGCGCCCCTAGGATCCGCCTATGCTCATTCTATACTCGCACCTCGACTTTTTCAACGAACCCAGGTAATGTCAGTGACAAGCAGGGAGAGCCGGTCTAACCAAGACACTGTGATGGGAAACAGATGCCTCGGCAAAACGGCACCAGCCTGATGGCAGACTATCATCGGCCACTAGTGAGGGAAGACAGGTTAGACATACGCGTAAGTGGCACATAAGTGTGTTTTGAACTTGTTTATGCGCGTGCCAAATGTTTGAAGTCTATGAAATATTTTTGTTCTCTTATTCACGGCCATAATTGCAGTTTTGCGACGATGGGTAACATGTGCCCCAATTGCTGCCTTTAGAAGCGGGCAGGGATCATCAGCGTCACCATTGTTAGATGTCGGTTGGCCTCGATGCCTCAATAAATTGCTTCAGCCGCGCACCGTGTGTATTCAGTCAGCTAACCACTAGACATGCTATTTCATGACGGCTACTGGGCTTTATACGTCGCTGCCCATGGTAGTGTCAACCAGACGGTAAACCAAAATAGTTAAACTCATTCCAGATTCCAGAATTACATTCAGTACTATAGTGGTGAAAAACTGCGCTTGAAGCTGACGTGGAGGGAGCGGTGTCAGCCATACGAGCCCCCCCCCCCCCCCTCCCCCACCTGGCTGTGCTATTGGCCAAGGGCGCGGCGACGTTACCTTCGCGTTACATCAACTCCGCGTAAAATATTTCAGTTTTACGTTCTTGGGTTGTCGAAGTGCTACCGGTAGATCACTCAGTAGCCGCCGGTAACAATTTTACGTAAAGCGACGCAACGCGCAGCGCGACGTACATTGCTACATACACGGGACGACGTACATTGCTACAGGTGGCAGCTATCATTCTTTTGTAGCTCCTTCGTTCGTTGCGGCGAGAAAGTGGGTAAAAATGACGATCGAATGCCTAAATCGAAGCCCCTGCGTTGAGAAGCATTCAAGAAACCAAAACCGTATGAGGGAGGTAAAACCTTCCGGCTATTTTCGCATCATCTTTGCTTAACGTAAGCATGACGTCACTGGTGCGGAGACTTCAATACGCGGCCGGTTGCTAGGCCCGGGCTTCATGCTGATGGGCAATAGGAACATCAAAACATTCGTACAGGTAATGGGCAAGCCGTTATAGAAAGTACATATGACCAGCGGGCTGAGTACGTAGAACTTTATGGCAGAGGTGATGATGTGCTTTGCGAGCTTACGCGGCAAGCCATTAAAATGCATTGTCATGACAAATGAAGACATTCGCAAAAGATTTATTCGCAGTGGGGCGGCAGGAGCATCGAGCCGTTGTACCGATAATGAACAAACTGCCTCTGGTAGATGCATGCAACTCAAGGGACAGTTGCGTAGACTTAAACGACGAATATGATGATGTACGTAACAGCCTCACGCGGCAAGTAATTGCAATGCATTTCGATTTTATACTGTCTCGCACCCCGTCGCCTCGTCGCCCTCGACGGTGTGAATGAATGGCGAACGTGGCGAGTCTGTTGCCTTGTACGTTGTTGTCTGTTGCAGTTGACTTGTACGCCGGATGCGGCAAATATGTTGCTGGCGAGTAGGGTGGAGTGAGTGAGGGAGATTTCCCCACTGCCTCTGTAGTTGTACCAGACCGAGCTATTCGAGATGGGAGATCAGAGACTTCATAGCTACCTGCATCTATCTGCGCGGTCGCCGTGCTCGGTATGTACCTGTCTGCGGGACCGGCCGCGCTCGGGCCGGGATTAGGGAATGAGCAGCTACAGCGACACGGACAAAAACAATTACGCTAGCGCGTCCTAAGCTGGTGGTGCTGTGCGTGCTAAGTCGTCCCGACTATCAATCTGGACATCGCGCGGGTGAAGCTAACGGCCCGGAACGCCTTCTAGAGGAATGCCGACTGATTTCATTAAGTGTTCAAAAGTTACATTTTGCGATATGCGGCCGTAATCCCTGACCATTCCATGGGATCCCTGACCATTCACGTGGTCGTTATCCCTGACCAACCACCGCCAGGTGTTAGGTGCAGGCCAATGGAGACCGGCTGGGTATCGATGCTCTTCCCTATGGACGGCTAACCCTAAAACTATTACCTGGCAAGGTTCCTGGCTGTTATCGTTTAACCCGGCACGTACCGGGCCTGCCGGTGACACACCATTGGCCGGAGGGGGCAGATTTCCCCCCCCCCCCCCGCTTATCCCAAGAACGGCCGAGTCACAATCGGAAATTCAAACAGCAATCGATAGCGCCGTAGTGTATCGTCTCAGACCACGAAACCAACTTTAAGACGCGTGATTAGGTCACGAGTCAATGTCAAACTATTGAAATGTTACCTTGGAATATCTTACCGCTCCCAAAACGCAAGGCATTTAGAATCGCGTCTCATGGTGTGACATACCTGCGCCCTGATCAAGCAAGCTACATAGGAAGGTATCCAATGTTACGCACGCCACACCAGGCCTAGAGCTAAGGTCACGTGCTCTGCAAATCAGAGCCGAAACCTTGGTCTATATGTATATTTTAGTCTATTTATTTGCGTCATATTTGAACCATATAAACGTGAGGGGGGAGAGCCTAGCCACAATTTTGGGTATCAGAGACTTGAGCTGTTACTTGTTCACAAACCGTTTAATGTCAAGGCCAAATGGATGACTTCGGTGGTGAATAAGCGTTTGGATGCTCGTTCATAGCGTGATCCGTAATGGAAAGCCAGACAATCCAGTAAGGTGCCCGCGCATCATTCAACTGTGCGATTGGAAACAATTACATTTGTAGGCTTGAGCTGGTAAAGTGAGAAGACTTAAACATCAAGGTCATATTAGGTCAACTTCATCACAAGTGGATAACTCCAAAAATTGCGGCCTGATTTCAATGCCTGAAATGGCGTTCGACAGCTCTGCTACAAGCGATCATGTTCAAGCTGCAGTAAAAGCGATAGCGATATATTTCTTGACCATTTTATACGCGGATCTGCACACATGATTACGCCCTGCTACGAACGGAGCGGGTGTAATATATGTACGTGATCGTAATCGTACTACGTACGTAATCATATTACGTACATATTAAACGTACGTGATCATATTACGCCCCGAACATACAAAACATCCGAGAATAAAGTCAACTAGCTGTGACACATCTCGAATGAGACACCAAGTGCCACGCCCTCACAGCCGGTCGGAGTCGCTTGCGTAAGCCGTCCGCATGTGGGCGGCGATACGGTGCCGCTCACAGACATACTTGGCGCACTGGAAGCATTTTTCGTATTTGGCAGCCGACTTTTGCGGCACCTGTAGACGGACATGCCAATCAGCTCAGTTGCGCGAGCCGCGGCCTCTTGACCCGCGAGCCCATGTCCAGGTGGGCCCGGGCAGCATGAGCCGCGATATACTGCAAGCCATAACTCAGTCGTTGCGGCAGATAATCGCTGGGAACATTAAACAGGCATCGTTCAAAGTTGTATCTGGGACACCTGATTTCATGTTTAGGTCATTTTGAATATGAGGTCAAAAGTGCTGAGCTTACCTTCTATTAACTTTTCTTGTTATTTAACACGCCAATGATTAGATGTTTAATATAGGAACAACGCAACAAGACATGGGAACAATTGGAGAATCGCCTCACATTTCTCGTTTACAGACATAACAAGCTCTTTTGGTCGGTTGCTGTGTCAGTTTGTCTACGGTTTTGAGCTTTTGTAAATATCGGCAAACATGACGTCACTCTGACGTCCTTGACGCCTTATCTATTACAGTCTCATAGTTTGTATTTTGGCAAAAGGTGCAAAATTCGTCAACTGACAGCTACCAAAAATCTCACAGCGATCCATCCCGGTGTTTTTTTTAATTATCGCAAATATTGGACAGGGGGAGGGGGCAAATTTGACCCCCTCCCGGTCAAGGCCGGGCTAACAGAAGGCGTGAAAGAGCCGTTGCGAGGTCAAAGCTTCACAGTACCCGCGATCAGCGACGCTTCACTCGCGGTTCTCTGCAGTCATCTAACTGCCGTTTAATTGCATTTCATTGACTTCTTTATACAGGATTAATTGTGTCTTCTGGTGGCTTTGCGCTTCCCCTTATGTCAAACAAGCTCAACGCAACAGTTAAGTTGTAAATTGGCCTCTTCAAAGAAAGTGGGTCAAATCAGGCGGACATTTTGGGTGAGAGATATTTACCCTATTATAAAATAAGAATATTATGATGTGGCGGAGATACGGGAACTTTTTATGAGATAAGGCAGCAAGTTACAGGGGGCACGACGGTGAAAAAGGGCGCCTCCCTTAAAGAAATCCTAGGCACGCCCCTGAGTGTGGCTGTAAGCTTTGGGCACCCCGAATCTCGCTCGCCTTGGCCCTAGGATGATGATATTGATACCACAGTTGCCTTCACTCTTGCCATATGTTACACCATTATCTCAGGCCCGCTTCATTACGCAGGCATAGCTAGTGCACCACGCGTGAATGAAGATGCATGACGTGGTGTCAAGAGCAAAGCTGAACGCTGTCTGTCAGGGATATATATATATATATATATATATATATATATATATATATATGTGGATAAACGTGCACGGTTGCGACCCTGGATCGCACAAAAAGGGAGCGTTCAATCCCATTGGTCGACATTAACGTATGGACAGGGAGAGCTTGCCCCTCCCTCTCTCGCATCCACACGTCATGATGTGAAGCGTAACTGATATTTGAATTGGAACGTCTCCGAGCCCCCGCTGGAAAGTTGCGGTAAAGTCCAGTTTGGATAGCTCAGCTCAGCTACCGAGACTTTCATTTGTGGATTCCGTCCTCTGGACCCGCTGTGGCGCTGCGGTTAGAGTCAATCCCGTCCTCTGGACCCGCTGTGGCGCTGCGGTTAGAGTTGAGCTCGTCCTCTGGACCCGCTGTGGCGCTGCGGTTAGAGTCGATCTCGTCCTCTGGACCCGCTGCGGCGCTGCGGTTAGAGTTGAGCTCGTCCTCTGGACCCGCTGTGGTGCTGCGGTTAGAGTCAGTCCCGTCCTCTGGACCGTCTGTGGCGCTGCGGTTAGAGTCAATCCCGTCCTCTGGACCCGCTGTGGCGCTGCGGTTAGAGTTGAGCTCGTCCTCTGGACCCGCTGTGGCGCTGCGGTTAGAGTCGATCTCGTCCTCTGGACCCGCTGTGGCGCTGCGGTTAGAGTCGATCTCGTCCTCTGGACCCGCTGTGGCGCTGCGGTTAGAGTTGAGCTCGTCCTCTGGACCCGCTGTGGCGCTGCGGTTAGAGTCGATCTCGTCCTCTGGACCCGCTGTGGCGCTGCGGTTAGAGTCAATCTCGTCCTCTGGACCCGCTGTGGCGCTGCGGTTAGAGCCAATCTCGTCCTCTGGACCCGCTGTGGCGCTGCGGTCAGCGACGCCGCAATGTGTTTCATGTGTAAATGGAGTGTAGGTTCATCTCAGCCCGTTATAAATCGGGTGGATTGGTGGAAGCGCACACCGAGCCATCATCACAGCCTGGGGAAAAGAACACTGAAGACTGTAGCTGTCTACCACGGGTGCTGAGCTGCCAGATAACACTACGATGTTGCACAGCTTCTGCATTTTATTTACATTCCGGCAAAGCCGGCCGTAGCAGTAAGTCCCATCATAAGACCATGTCATGATCTATTTAGCTCTGACCGCCCACTTCTGACTTTGGGGCTGAAGATTCGTGCGCGGTTGTTGTATGTCTAAGGCAGGCGCCGGGCACCGCCGCAATTACCGCTTGGAGCCGCTGTGGAGGCGGCGGTGGTGGAGGCGGTGGTGGTGGAGGCGGTGGTGGTGGAGGCGGTGGTGGTGGAGGCAGTGGTGGAGGTGGTGGTCTGCGCTGTGCCCAGGAACTCGACGTCGGCGGTGAAGCCGCGATGCCAGCCGTAGTTGCCCGAATGGAACTGGACGATGAAGCTGTTACCAGTAGACGTGAAGCTCTGGCCCTGCAGTTCGTCGTCGCACGCCTTCTGGTCGTTGGTGTGAACGTCGCCGCTGTAGCGGAGCGCCAAGAAGTCCCAATAGCACTGCCCGTTGCGCCGGTACAGCATGGCCATGTCGTTGATCGTAACCTTGACCGTCTGGCCCTCGCCGGCCGTAATGACCCAGTAACAGACGACGTTGACGGGGAAGTTGCTTGGATAGTTGGGTGAGGTGATAGTGCCCGGCTGGCGCATGTCCTGGTCGCCGCAGTCCGGTCCCGGATAGTACTCACCGTTGAGCGTCTCGCAGTTTGTGCCAGCCGTGTTGCTCGGGCAGACGCACGTGCATGACCCGCCGACGAAGCCGCCGTTCTGGCAGGTGGGCGGGCTCGAGCACGGGGAGGCGCACTGGTACATGGCGTTGGCGATCTGCTGGTCACGGTGGGAGAGGCCGCCCCGGTTCCCGATCAGACCTTCGTGTAGGAAGTTGCGCACCTGGATCGTGTTTTCGCCGTTGCTGGTGAAGTACGTGCTGCCGTAATGCATGACCGAGGTCAGGTCGTACGGCACCGAATAGTTGCTGGAGCTGCTGCGGATGGCGAAGTTGCCCTCCCTGCCCGACTGGATGTTCTGGAAAAGGATCTCAACGTACGTGTCACGGTCGGTGCGCGACTGCTGGTGACTGAGGCCCAAAGCGTGGCCAATCTCGTGGGCCACAGTGCCCAGCCCGGTGCAGCCGGTGCCGATGCTCAGATCCTGGCCGCCCGAGCCGGTGACCTGACCCACGTATGACCAGCAGCCGCTCGACTTGATAAACTTGATGTGTGGCGTGGACGAGCCCTCGGACACCTCGTTGAACTCGATGCAGGTGCGGTCGCGCCAGTGCTGGATGCCGGCCAAGATGGCCGTGCGGTCGCCCGCCGAGGTGGAGCTGATGGCGAAGCTGACCGGGCTGGTCCAGAGGTTGCTGCTGGCCTGCCGGTTCGACCGTTGCGCCTCCGTCAGTACCATGTCCGACTCGAACAGCTCCAGGCCGTCGTCCGTAAAGTCGGGGTTGCGGTACTCGAAGCTGTTGTCGACAGGTATAACTGGTTTGCGGTCGTCGCCGGACTGTGAAGGCGGGTCCGTCACCCACTGGTCGATGGGGGTGACGGCTTGGCGCGGCTTGGCCGCCGCCATCACCGCCAGGCTGCAGACCAGCAGGATCCTCATCATGCTCGACTGATAGGCGTCGAATGCTGCCGGTCGGTCGCCGGCCCGTTTTATGGCGGCCGCGAGAAGGGCGGCGTCATGCAGACACAATAAGATGGCCGCACTTGCGTCGTGTAGTCGGAATCCTCGGCCGACGGGGATGCATATGTCAGCATAACTGAAGCACGCAAAGCCGACAACGTGACGGATGTGGCGCGATCAGCTGAGTACGCTAACAGACGGCACTTGAAGTAGTCGCTATCAATATGTGGCATGTCTTGGGTTCTTTTTTTCCGCCACTTTTGTTATGCTACTGCCCCCACCTTCCTGCTGCGCATCCACGCGCATATGTGCATCGTCATTTGCAGCGGCGCATTCTAGAACAGTCGTATCTTCTTTTGTGACGTTCGGCGTTCTCCTTCGTGTTGTCAGTATCGTGCCTGGCTTACCGGATATGTTTGCTCGTCATTGCCGACATCTGTGCTGACGATGCCGATAAAAATTCGACGAACAGAAATTGGAGAGACGAGTGATTTTCATTCGCTGAAAGACAAGTGCCTACATGGCACAGATTTGCTAATCATGCTGTGCCAAAGATCTTTACATGAAAAACGATCGAATTTCTGCACACAAAGCACGAAATTATTGATGCTTTTGTTAAAAATACTCTCCAAACAGGAACGGTTTGGAGCCTTTTCAAATGGTACGTTTATGAACGTCGCACTTAAATGCGACATAGTGCATGGCGCATTTTTATGAATGGCAGGTTGACGTTTTTGTATACCATAGATTGCTATCAGCTATAGTCTAGCTACCACCTAACGCATGGCTGCACCAGCTCAGCATAACTGGCCAGAACTCAGGAGATCCACGCTAAACTCTCGCTAGTCATGTAGCGCTCGTTGCCTTTTGGCCGAGCCCCCGACCGTGAGTTAGGTCCAGTTCGGCCTCTGGAGCGGATCTCCTAAGCAACTGGTATCTTGGTGTTATCGCACCTGGAACGCTGTGTAGAATGACTCTGGTTACAGGCATCGGCGAGCGGAGTGGCGCTAGCGACGATTGCGTCCGGTTTTTAGAGTTAACAAATCACGTGACGAGTGTCTGGTTTTTCGGTGCAAATCACGTGACGGTCCTGGGTCATGATGGGGACCGGGTCATGGCTGGCGTTATATCCATTGCTGAATTGGACGAGATAAGCCTGACACTTAAGGTGTTGGAGCTTTGAAGTCTAGATACGTAGCGCTACTCGATTTATGTATCGTCCTTTCTTTAACACCTGAACCCCTTCATTCTGTCCCTTCCGTTGGATTGAATCTCTTAAATGTCGCGAACACGTGTATGCCCTCCTGAGATGCGTTATTTGCCGGACCATTTCCTTTTACACATCATGGGAGCAAAGGCTCCGGCAGGGGGAGGGTTTAGCGGCAGCTCACCCCCTTAGGTCTTAATTAGGACCCTTCGCGTCACTTAAGTGACTCAAATGAACCCTCACGACCAACGATGAGCAGTCCAATTTCAGGGTCCGTAGTCGTATTAACGAGAGTGTTCCAGATTTGGAAGTTCTTTTAGCTCACTAGCCATCTTGAAGATCTTCCGGTGCAGTTCACAGCTCTGCACTTCTTAATCGGACATTGACCGGGGGCCAAATCTTCTCCCTTCCCTGCCCAATATTCGCAATACTTCAAAAACGCCTCGAGATATCGCTGCACAATTCAAAGCAGCTGTCAATTGATACATTCTACGCCTCGTGCCAAAATAACAACTGAGGCCATAATGCATCAAGAGCGAGTGATGCCTTGGTCATTTTTTAGAAAAGCGCGTCGCAGTAGACAAATCGGCCCAGAATCCGAAAGAAAGAGAATGTTTTTAGATCTGTAAACGAGTAATAATAACTGAATTATGTCTTGACATGCACCGCGGTGCACGTAGCCCGTGCCCAGGTGGGTCCGGTGGCGGGCGGCTGGGCTTCAGGTCTGCCACAGCGGCGCAGTGACGGGGCGGCGGAAGCCTTTAATCAGTTTCACATGCAAACTGACGAGACGAGACTGGCGGCGGGGCTGAAGAGCATCAGGCTGCGCTGTCGGCAGGACTGAACTGCTGAAAACAACGCGAGAATCGATTCAACCAATTCACCACCGGGGTCATTCATTTGACCTTGACCTTAGATGGTTTATGAACAAGTAACAGGTCCTGCTCACGTTTCTGATACCCATACTTGAGGCTAACTTCTCCCACTTTGCGTTAAGATGGCTCAAATATGAGGAAAATGACTAGACCAAGAGGACATATAGGCCGAGGTGTCAGCTCTCATTTGCACGGAGGATGCCCTTGGCATTATGCCTGGTATGGCACGTGTAACGTTGGATAGTTTCCTACGTAGCATGTCTGATCAGGGCAGAACGCTCTCACACCGTGAGATGCGCTTCTAACTTAAAGGCGTTGTGAGAGCGGTCAGGTATTCCAAAGTAACCTGCTAATAATTCGGCCTTGACCTGAAATCTTGATACGTACATAAGCTCGAGTTTGTTGTGTGACCTGAGACTGCGCGCCACGGTGCTATCCATTGCAATTTACATTTCTTAATTTGGCCCGGCCGTCCTTAAGCACGATGGTCCAGCCTGCCCCCCCCCCCCCCCCCCTCCCCGTCCATGGTGTGCCACGGAGGGGCCCGGTCGAGACATGTTTAATACACGAACCCTTCTAGTGTCTGAGCTACATGTCTGCCAAGATGTGCATACCAAGGGGGCAGGGGCGCAGCCAGAGCCATGACAAAGTGAGGGGGGACACAGGGTTGACAAAGGGTTCCCTGATAGTAAAAGGGAGCCCCCAAAAATAATCACCGGATATGGGCCATTTGTTATTGAGGACAGCTTTTTCTTAGAGAGAGAGAGAGAGAGAGAGAGACATATATATATATATATATATATATATATATATATATATATATATATAGTATACAAACATGAATATATATATATATATATATATATATATATATATATATTCATGTTTGCCTGGATATGTTCAACAATCAGTTAGAATCGATTGGTGGTACACATTATGTGACGTAGTTTTGAGCATGCGCGTTAGCATATCTAAGCAACAAAAAACTCAACGCCAGGCGTTGCAGTTACCGCGTGCTGCGCAGCGTCGGCCCCGAGGCTTGCACTAGGTTGTGGCCAACGGGTGAAAGAAAATTGTGTCGCATCTTAAAGAAGCACTTTTGAGCGCTTGTGGACACCACAGCGTACATTCATAGATATTCCGAGCGTATATTTTACCTGAGACTTTCGGAAACATTCGGCACCCGCCCGGTTCAAAGCTTGTGACGGTCTTCCTTTTAGAAGTCGCTTCCGCAAAAGAATGAACGTGCTCAGGAAAACATCGGATGGGCCTTTGCATTTTGAACTCATTTCGACCCGCTCCATTCAGCACTAATGAGACCACTTATTTCCGGTGAAGGGGCCCCCTTGATTGGAGCACTCTGGGGCACGTTGTTATTCCCGATCGAGGGCTGAAAGACCATCGGTAAGAAAGGCGGGCACCGCGGGGAATCGAACCCAGTATTGTGATTTCCCAGACGGGCAGTGGTTGTAACCACTACACTATCGGCGCCCGGCGTGCAGGCTCAAACAGTTTGATGGCATTTATTTCAATAGTCGATTTTGAAAATAATGAACGTTCACAGGGAAAAATGGGATGGCCTTGTGCATTTTGAACTCGTTTCGACCCACTCCATTCAGCGTTAATGAGACCCCCTAATTCTTTCCGGTAAGGGGCCCCTTGAATATGACACTACGGAGTACATTTTCGTTCCCGGTCAAGGAGTGGAGGGTTGCTCCGCCCCACCGCGCTGTGTTTTCCGGCCGTCATTCTAGCGTCGCAGGGTGGCATCCCCTGGCCGATGCGAAGGCCCCAGAGGATGATACGTCATATCAAATTGGTCCGCTCCCTGACACCGGAGGCCTTCTGACCCGCGCAGTGGTCTGACTCTATATTGACGCATGAACTGTCATTAACGCAACAACATCCCTGATTGCCGCAGGTGGGCACATAATTGGCACGTAGACTCCAGTTGGTTTTAACTAGCCCATGCTGGAATAGGTTTGGAGGACCCACCGTTCGGTAGTGGAGGCCCCGACTGGCACAGGATTCTTCAGTGGAGGCCCCGATCGGCACTGGATTCTTCTTTTACCTCAACGTGAGCACTCATCATAAGCTCTTATGTTTCTCTTAATTGGCAGACGGTCCCAACTAACGCAAGAGACCCTTTGTCATTCGAGCTCCTGTCTCCCTTCTTGTTGAGCAAACCTTCATCTGACCGATTCGAGGCCCCTTGTTGACACAGAATGACTACAGTGCCCTGTTTGACACCGTGGGCCCCTGAACGATGCAGGAGCCCGACCAATGTAAATGGGAGATGGGCCCACAGAGTTCAGACCAACATGGAGCCGACTGTTCATTGTTCGTGATGTCGGGCCGAAACAGAGGAACGCTCTGTCTCAGGACTCCCTATCGGTACAAGAGGCCACCTTACTGACATTTGAGACAACGGCCCTATGGGCGGGGATACCTATTGTGACCTACAGCCAGCCCTTCGAACCCCTCAGCCATCGCATCAGGTCCTTGATCTTTAGTCTCGAGAGACCCTTCGCCCCCCCCCCCCCTTTGGGCCCCCTCAAACACCGTTCCGACTCGGGGTCACTTGCCGCCACAGAACCCCTGTCCGACACTGTGGCCCGTAACCGACACAGGAGTCCCATATTGTGTCAGGGACCCTGAACGTTGAAAATACCGGACCCTGGCCTTGTTTCTGCTTGGGAAGTGGGCATCAGGGGCTCAGACGGGCATGAAGCCGACTGTTAGGTGTTCGTGGTCTCTGACCGACTTAGACACCTGCATTGTCTCATTTGTTCCTCCACAGGTGCAATAGGGTCTCTGACTGATATTTAAGGTCACGACCCAACGGGCCGCGATTATTTCCGTGAAACACGACCAGTCCTTCGGCCCTTAAGCCCTCCAACTGGGTCTTTGATCGTTGGGCCCGGTGGACCGCCCATGTCCCTCTTCGGGCCTCATAGATCACTTCCCTTGGTCGGCTCGGGGCATTTGCAAGCACAGGACCCTCTGTTAGGCGCTGTGGGCTCCTGACAGATACAAGGCGCCAGACCTGTGGACAGGGCCTTCTGGACGTTATTTGAGGGTCCGTTTTTTGTCGGTCGGGGCCCTTGAATATGACCCCGACCAGCCTTTCATATCTTTAGACCCTCCAATTGGCTTAGAAAGATCGTCGGACCCGGTAGGCCCTCTTGGCTCTTCGGGCCTCCTCGGACACTGCCTCTTGCAGACTCGGGACTTCTTGACAACACAGGGCCCCTGTTAGGCGCTGTGAGACCCCGAGCAATGTAAATCGCAGGCGCCGACTTTATATCAGCTTGTGAAATGGACCCTTACGCCCATGCCGCCACGGAGCCGACTGTGCGTTACTGGTGATGTCTGGCCGAAATATAGGCCCTCATCGACTCAATGGGCCCCTGAGCAGCGCAGGACTCTCTGGCTGGCATTGGAGTGTCCGACCCTGCGGGTTGGAGCCCCTGAAGGAGATCTCCGGCTGGCCTTTCGGGCCTTTCGGTCGCTCAAATCGGGCCCTTAATGGTAGGTTCCGAGAGGCCCGTAAGACCCCTCGGAACCTAGGGGGGTGCGTGCCCCTGTGCCCTCCCCCTGCCCGAGCTACTGGTTGGGGGGACTATTTTAAGGCCACTTAGACACTCATGACGCCATGATAGCGTCATTCGGATTCTGCCACTCCATTGGCCATGCGGTGATCAAGGCCAAGAAAAGTATAACTGTCGAATCGTTCATAAGTGGCGTTCATTAGTACGATTTTCAAATAAAGTGGCCGTTAATTGGTTCTCAATCAGTGCTGTTTAAGGCATGATGACGTGATCAAGCAATTATGTTTTGAGGAGCACAGCTACGAAACACAGAACTTATGTTGTCTAGACCAGTATTTTTCATTTAAAAGCATACCAGTAGTTATAAATGAGTTCATTTCAACAGATCTGATGTTTGCTTTAATATCTTCGAATATGGAACATTTCCTTTAAGAGGCCCCAGACCGCAGGGTTGGATCCACAAATGTCATTTGGAACATCGCTTGTGCTGGTTGGCTGCCTCTGAGACAATGAGGGCCTCTATGTCGGTCAGAGACCACCAATACGGAACAGCCGGTTTCGTGTCAGTCTGGGCAATGGGGCAATGGTTTGCAAATGGCATATTAACTATATATAAATGCTGGCTGACAGTGGCGTTAGATTTGTATTAACACTGATGCGTTTTGTCATTCCGCGCTTTAGCATGAGGAATCTTATTCATTTTCTGCAGAATCGTCACTTTTTTCTGCAACCTTTACGCGATTACTGTTTATTAGCGATTCTCCCTCGCTTAATTATGATGAGCGCATGAAGAAACAGTTGAATGCATAGCATGACAAGATTAGGAGAAGGCCTGGTTTGCCATTGCTTTCAAAAGTGAACAGTAAACAATAGGCTCCTTATCGACTCAGGGGCCCTGATCGGTGCAAGGGTCTCTATGGCTGGCATTGGACGAGCATTGGACACTGAAAACGAACTCGGGCCAGTTTTTCAGGCCACTTGACCATTCGAAGTGAACCGTTGTTCGGCTGTCCGAGAGGCTCCTCGTACCCAAAGTATGGGGGGAGCATATGTCCCCCGTCCCCCTGCATCTCCAGCAACCGCTGGAGGCTTGCAGTATATTTGCAGTTTCAATAGGTGTATGACCTTGGCCGATGGCTCAACCACTTCATATCTGCACACAGGTGTAAAATAGATCACCATGAGGGTACCAAAATCCCAAGCCCCGCGCTCCAACATTTTTTTCGCTAAGTTTGCAAAGCCTTTGGGGATGACCCCCCCCCCGCCCTGATCAAGACCGGCTCAGACGCTACTCTCATTTCAAGTGGAAGTTCAATCACTGAAGACTGTTCTAATAGTTTACATGTAAATTACCCATGGTGATAGTGAGGATATGGCAATATACTTTATTAGTTTGGATATTACTATGTTTTACTAGAACTTTATGAAAACTAAGTGCAGATTTACTAAAACTAAGTTCAAATTTAAATTAAATACAAATTTCAAAAGTTCAGCTGACATGGGCCACGGCAATTTTTTGTTACGATGCTGTCTTGCTTTGATATACCCATGCCTAACAACGCTTCCAGGCGTGCAGTGAACAGAAGAAAAGAAACTCTATATTGCCAGGTCATAATTATATGAGTTCCAAATTTATCATACAATGCCAAGCACGAATTTAGAAGGGATGCCGTGCAAGCATTTTCTTTCATAGGCACACATCTATTAACCATTTTTTTAAGTTATGATATGTATTATCTACATATATATTTACCATTTACGACGCCTGATTACTTTACAACGTACGAAAACAGCTTCCAAAGCCAGAGGCGCAATGAAAGGCATGCAAACCGCGCATTATCGGTTTTCACCTTGAAATGGAACATAAATACACCAGTAGTATTAGCCTTTTCCCTCGGAGAAAAACCAGGAGAATGGAGATGTAGCTGGGTTGATATTTCGGCAACATGCATTTATCGAAATAATAACAGAAGAGCACCTCTGCTTTGTTTCGATAAAGACATGTTGCCGAAATATCAACCCACCTAAATCTTCATTCTCCTGGTTTTTCTCCGAGGAATAAGACTGATGCTACCGTCTTATTTATGTGAATAATGCTCCCTGTTAATGCACTGAACAACTTACGTAATTGTAAGGGAACATATTAGATGCGTGGCTTTCCACGCAGGCGGTGATCCCGTCACCTCCTGTTCGGCTTTAACTCTAGGGACTGGACTGACAACAGTCGATACACTTCGAAAATTGTGGGAATGTCGACCAGTGGTCATCTGGATATGTCTCAGTAGCATCAGATGTTTTCGCGGTTCGATGCTCGGAGGTGTGACGAAGCTTTATTCTGGTAAATAGATATGTGCCTATGAAAGAAAATGCTTACACAGCATATATATATATATATATATATATATATATATATATATATATATATATATATATATATTATATATATATACTATATATATATTTATATATATATAGTAGATAGATAGATATATATATATATATATATATATATATATATAAAGTATAACTGTCGAATCGTTCATAAGTGGCGTTCATTAGTATGATTTTCAAATAAAGTGGCCGTTAATTGGTTCTCAATCAGTGCTGTTTAAGGCATGATGACGTGATCAAGCAATTATGTTTTGAGGAGCACATCTACGAAACGCAGAACTTATGTTGTCTAGACCAGTATTTTTCATTTAAAAGCATACCAGTAGTTATAAATGAGTTCATTTCAGCAGATCTGATGTTTGCTTTAATATCTTCGAATATGGAACATTTCCTTTAAGAGGCCCCAGACCGCAGGGCTGGATCCACAAATGTCATTTGGAACATAGCTTGTGCTGATTGGCTGCCTCTGAGACAATGAACTATATATATATATATATATATATATATATATATATATATATATATATTGTTTGCACTGCAAATTTGTTGGGATAGAGGAACTGTACCTAATCTATCCGAAGATAGAAAGGGAGGCTTCCTTCCTTCTCGGTGACGCCGCCCCTGGGTAGAGGGACTCTTGATGTTGCCATTTTGCTGCTGGATGTCCATTTACAGAATATGCAGCGCAACGCAACGATTCGCTGAGTGCAAAACTGGTTAATTTACGTAACTGTGTGCCATTTGAGACAACAAAGTCGACAAAATTCCGTAGGAAACAAGCACGTTTAGCGATTTTGTGAGGGCAAAATCTACTGTACTTCTCGCAATCAAATCTTATGAAGTTCATACTTAGCACAGGACAATGACGGATTTGCGAGCATCATTTCAGACCATTCAGAACAACTACACCACTGTCCAGACAGACAGGACAGCCAAGTGTTACGAGAGGCAGGGCGAATAAAGGGAATCATAGGCGCGGTCTTTAAAGTATTGGGCTCAGCTACGTAATTTTAGATGCAATTTTCTACGCCATTTTCTATGCCGCTGTGCATTTTTCTAACCACCGGCCATGCAAACCATCAGGCAAAGGCTACAGGAACAACTCAAGCTGAAATGAATATACGTTACTGCACTGTTTTTTTTCAAATGTGAGTTTGCTAAATGTTGAGAATGATGAGTTTGTATTTCCCATCCACTGTTTATTTTTAAATGATGTTCACTTAGAACCTAAAGATTCACGACGAGCCTGAAGGCTCTCTGAGATATACGCAATTAAAAATAAACTGAAATGAATTAAACTGGAACAACAGTGATATGAGCTTAGCTGAACTGCGGTCGCCAAACAAGTCATTGTGTATCACAATGGTGCTCCCAAATTGATAAATGTGGAACTAAACTAAGTTTGTGTCTAATTCCGATAGAAAATGTATTTTCCAAAGAAATTGGAGGACAAGAACCACCACATCACTGGTTAGGCAGTTGAGTTCGCTTTTTATGCGTACAGAGACATGGAATATGGTGGTAGACCGTCTGGTCGTTGCTGGTCTTGCCTCCAGGTCCGGTAATAAGCCGCCATTCGTTCCCACCCCACCCTCAAACACAAAGGTTAGGTAAAAGGTTACGTTGGCTTTATGCTAACCACGCAATGACCAACGTTAATGGCTGTGCCAAATAAGGCATCTTTCAAAGGTGAGGGCCCATACTTTTTGCCTCCGACGCCTCACAAAACCTCCGAGTTCGCCGCAGCCCTTGCCTGACAGCTCATTTTGGCGCTTCATGTATTCTTGCCCTGCGCTTTGTCAGTGAAGTGTCCGGGGAAATAGGTCCTGGCCTAAACTGCTTCATTTCTCTTCCGCGAACGCGGTTGGGCGCGTGACTCGTGCGGCCGCGGCGCCTCCGGTGGATGGCTAGTGAACAATCGGTGTACCGTCCAGTCGCTTGATGTTGGGAAGGCGTTTGACGGCTTCGGCAATCCACGTGCCGGCCTCCGCGTAGCGCTCTTCCAGGGGATTGCCGACGAACACGAGGTCGACCAGGTTCGGCAGGTCGTTGAGCCTGACGAACTCGGTCCAGTCCTTGACGACGTTGTTGGACATGTACAGGACACTGAGCTTGCGCAGAACGTTGACGCCTTTCATGCGTTCGATGTTGTTGTACGAGATCCACAGCTGTTCGAGAGTGTCTCCCACGGCCTCCAGGCCGGCGAAGGTTTTTATGTTGTTCCTGCCGAGGGAGAGGATCCGTAGGTTTTTCAGTGCGTTGAGGTTGGTTATCTTGTCGATGGCGTTTGTTGACAATGAGAGCTTTTCGCAGAGAGCTAGCTGGTTTAGAGCACTATCCATCTTTTCGATGGAAGGAAATATGCCAATCAGCTTTATTTCGGTGGCTTCAGAGGCCTTTTGCCCCGTCTTCTCTTCCCATTGCTTCAAGGCGTCTTTAATGGATGTTCCTTTGGACATACTTTTCTGGCGAAACCCCACACTTAGCTTTGCAAGCCTCTTCTCCAAATTCGGGAAAATGAGGAAACCCGTGATCACTATTCGTCCCAGTATTATTGAAAACTTTACTATTTCCGTTGTAGTGGATAGACCAGCTGGGAGTTTAGTACTGTTTAAGTTGTTGTTGACTAGGTGTACTTAAGGATTTCACCAATTTCACCCACCCACCCCACAAATGCCTACCCAGCCCGTTCGAATACAGACTATAGCATCGCCTACGACAAGGATCCGTGGTGCCCCGAAGTATTTAGGCATAAGCCAAATTCGTGTTTTTTTTCGCAACGCTCGAACTATTCCTCCCGCGGGCTCTTCGGTTTCGCTTTTACAATGCTCACAAACTTAACCGATCCATGTGCACTCCCGGCCTGGGGCCTTGTTGCTAGCCTCTTCTGGAT